GTTATTGTACAAACTTGCTTTAAAAAATGTGACGTATTGGAATTACTTCCACTGCCGTGTGTGTGTGTGTGTGTGTGTGGGCGATGTTGGGATAAAAATATAAGCTTCGCCTGCATATGCGAGCGGACACACCCATCTTTCTGTTAATGCCAATTTTTTTTTCCGCGTTAAATCAAATACGTACTCAATATATTGCTTTCGTGAGAAACGTTTCTCGGTATCAACATTCGAAAATAACACCGTGACCATTTAGCAGACGACACCATGGAGGACCTGTGATGAATTTACATTATTTTGTAAACCTAAACGCGTACTTTTGGAATAAAAGCCTAAATGTAACCAAGTGAACACGAGGCGTCATATAACTAAGATAACTGTAAGTAGTTCTGGCAAAAAAGGATGGTGGATGAAATTCTTAAGGGCTCAATCAAATAATGAAGTAGCTGGCCATTGTTTTCAAAATTCTGAAGAGGAGAGGAAGAATAAAACACATTTCTAGTTCGTGTGTTTTCATGGTAGAAGGCTTCTGCATCCAAGAAAGGGCTAGAGGAAGTTACATTATGATGAGGCCTCATCATTTGTACAATTATTCACTTGTCATGTGACTGGCCTACGCACTACAGACGCTTCGATACGAAATTAAATCTGAAACAAATTCTCTTGACAGACAACTGGCACATCACAAGGGACCCATCCACACAAAACCACGGGCATACATACATGCCCATAACCTGTGATCCCAGTGATAAATTGGAAAAATGTCTGTAAATATTAAAAATTGTCTAAAAATTTTAAAATACCAGAAATTCTCTAAACTTCGAAAGTTGGCTAAATACGTCATAAAAATGAAAACTTTCGAAAATGATAAAAATTCGAAATACATAGTCTTCATACGAGTCATATAGCCAAGCCTTAGGTGGCGTCAGGTTCGTTAGGTTAAGATTGGTGAGGAAATGTTATGTTGGCTTAGGTTAGGTTACGTTGCGTGAGGTTCTTGGGTTGGGTTGAATCATGAATTTTAAAATATGAAAAATTACACAAACTTCCAAAATTAGCTAAAAAGTACACATTAAAAATTTTAAAAATCTTGAAATATTGCAAAAACCTACAGAACAATTCTAAAAACTAGAAACTTCCAAAAATTTCAAAACTCAAAACATTTTCAAATTTTTCAAAAATTATAAAAATCTCCAAAAATTGGCAAAAGACCCGAAAATATTAAAAATTTTCGAAAAATTTCAAAATTTAATGAATATGTAAATTCCGAAATTTTTAAATTTTTTTAACAAATTACAAATATTAAAAAATTGGCTACATTATAAAATTAAAAAACTAGTAACTTTTCAAAATCCAAAAAACATAGCCAACATACGAATCACGTAAGCAAGCATTATGTTAGGTTAGGACAGGTTGGGTTACGTTAGGTTGTTAGAACAGTTTGGTTAGATTAGGAGACAGGGTGGACCCTAGAACCGATCTGGTCGCAGAGACTAGAGGAAAAATCCTCTGCCCCCGTCGGAGATCGAACACCTGTCGTCCATTTCATAGCCAATCACAATACTGACTGAGCTACACCGGCTCATAATGGGGATCATAAACTACAAACATTTCCTAAACTCACAGAAAATTTTTAAAAATTAAAATTTTTCGAGTATTTTAAAAATTGAAAAAATTATAAAAGTTGTAAAAAAACCAATAACCAGGTAAAAAATTAAGTAAATTTAAGAATTTTCAAGATTCAAAGTGTGAAGCCTTCATACCAGTCAATCTGAAGTTGGTATGATAAAATAGAAAGTTAATATATTTTTAAGAAGAAGCAGACTAATAGCATTGACTGCCAACTGACTGCAAGGTGTAAAATTATCTTAGCTGTACCATTATTTGTCTCACATTTCGCATATTTAATTAACACAATTCGTATATCATAATGTTTAAATAAGTATTTTAGTCATCACCTGATTGACAATACACGTACAACGTATTTTTATTAAATGTAAGCAAACCTCTATACTCATACATTATAGAACAATACACTATGGAATTTTTAATATACACTGATTATAAGACGTCTTTGTATGTTGAATAGTTAAAAGAATACTGGGATACTGGGGTCAAACAGTTCTTCAAGTGACTGAGCACTTCAGGTCCCAACTTCTTGTTGGTTCGATCTATAGACATTTGGTAGGACTCCTTGGACGAGGGATCGGCCCGTCGCAAGGCCTCTACCTGTACACAGGACAGCACAACACAGAAAAACGCGGAGAAACATCCATGGCTTGAGTGGGATTCGAATCCACAGTCCCAGCGACCAAGCGGCACAAGGCCCACGTGTGGCCACTGCGGACCCCTAAAAGAATACACTGATGATAATGAACTTCTAGCACTAATTTAAAACACACAGACTTTCTTTTCTCGTCAATTACCTCTGCACTATTTTCATAATTTGTTCTAACATCAGCTGTTACAGCAATGTAAAATGGATGATGAATGATCCAGTGTGTGGTAAAACAGCTTTAATATCAGCAGGTATCTTGTGGGTTAGTGAGAACAACTCACGGGTACTGCCTCTTCTTCCTACTCTCACTTCAGAATATTGATCACTTTTGTGTTGTTTAATGAAGATGTCATTACGCCTACTTCAGATTTGAAACTTACAACTTCAGCAAAGGATAATGGCAGCCCACCATCAGAGGGATTCCTGTCACTTGCTTTGCTGTAGTTAAATTACTTTTTTAAAACATTGCCTTAGCTTAGACAAAGCCATTTGTAAGATTTGAGGTTCTTACAGTGGTGGGTTAAAATGGCTTTCTTCTGGGTTGTATTACTGTTTAGTCTAGAACAGTGGTCCCCAATGCGGTGCCCGCAGGTGCCATGCAACTTTGGTATTGTGATGTATCGGCAATGTCTATGAACAGATTCCGGCGATTCAGTGTATAACTTTGGCTGCATTAAATTTTTTGTGTTAACCAATATTTTGGCAAACATTGCAGTTGCAGTTTATAATGATTCTTTTGGAATCTTATTTAGGTGATTAGAGTGTTTCCCTCTTTGGTCAGGAACTGGTGTTGACTGACCAAGAGAAATCTTCTTTACAATATTCTAAAATCTATCATGGAAGTTTATATGGACATGTACAGCCAGAAATTCCACACCATTCTCTTTGGCACTGTAATGTAGAGTGCATTTTCTTTTTAATTTATGGTGTTTGGCTTTCCCATGATATATCCTTACAACTTCAGAAAGGAAGGAAAGAAGAAAACATTCTGAGTGTCTCAAGAACCCAAATCTGAGAGAGAGATGAATGTTGATACTTTTTTCCCTTCAAGTTCAGATCTGCAACTTTTGTGACAAGGCTTTCTGGAGTAGCATGTAAAATGCTCTGGTTCTTCTAGAAAAAATGAGTACTTTCACAACATTATGCTCAGAAAGTGTTTCTAGCCTATATAAATGTACTTGGAAAAAGTTACTGAATACTAGACCTTACTTTGGCTTCTGTGAATCCACATCTTCAAACAAACTTATCCGGGTAACACGAAAGAGAATACTTATAAAATCACAAAATTATATAAAAATCTTTATCAACAATTCAGAAAGGACATTAACCTCTCTAGATTGTGGTATATAACATAGTAAAATTAATAATAATGTCATAGACCTCCTTAGGCTGTGTTCAAATATAAGGTAAGCGTAAAAAATTAAAAGGGCATTATTTCATTCATATACATGTCATAAATACTGATTACGCAGAAAATATTCTGTAAAATTTCAGTATGTTTTCAGACGAAAACGTAAGCCTCAGTTTAAACAGTGTCCACATACCTCAATACTAATTTATTCATCAGTTTGATTCAATGTCATCTAGGCAGATTCGTAAACTGCATCATCAGTGACCTCATTGAAATCACTTTTTACCTGAAGATTTCTGTCTTCTGGGTTATTGCGCTGTGAGAACCTCAAGTCTTACACTTTTTACCTCTTTGTTTTAAAATATAAGACGAGATTCACTGTTTGATACAACTCATTTACATAATACTGCCACATTTCGTCTGTGGTATGCCACAGCATAACCAACACACAGCAAAAGTGAGGTTAGGAAAGAACAACATTTTGCACATAGTACACCCATCTATTAGCAGATTTCTAAACTAGTGTAAGAATAGCTTCCCACTGTGTTGCCACACTTACTCATGTTAAAACATCCATTTTTAAAAAAATGTTACTTGCCATTATATTACCCCAAGTCCCTCTGTTCTACTTTAATACATCCTAAATTTTGATTGCAACATTTCCTCCACAGCACACCAAAAATTGTGCTTCATGTGGAAGCAACAGAAAGTGTAGAACAGATGAAGCTTTATGTTACATACTGAATAAACTCTAAAACCTCAGTTATATTTGGTGATTTCACTCACTACTCACCAGCAAATTCACTGGCTTTGTGTAATTAGACAAGTGAGTAAAACCAGCAACTATTTGCCTAACCCTGAAGACAGCCATATTCAGACTCCCTGCTGTGAAAACCTTAAACCCTACACTTCAATGTAGTTCATTATTTTAACATGCTAAATTAACAGCCACAGATGCCAATTATAAACTGCACAAGGAAACAAAATAAAAAAAAAACAGATATCACATACATAAAAGTTTCTGGTTCACAGTACATAAATACATATATAGACAAATTTAATGCTTGCAGATAGAGTGAACTTTATTGTAACAAGGCTAAGGGTAGCAAAATTCAGTGATTACTGTTTGACCAATCAAGACAAAAGTAATTTTAAAAAATTGCCAAACATATTAACATTAGTACAAATCTCATTGGCAGCTAACATGCAGCAAACAGAAGGATATTTACTATATAAAACTGATATAAAAAACACTGTATTGTCTTTAGTTTTTGGCTGGAACCCAAATATCAACTTTCTAAAAGTGAAAGGCAGATGATAAAACCATTATAAACGTTTCTACTTTAAAATAACAACAATCTGTTAAATAAATACCTGTATGGTGCACACGCCGCCCATTCCATTTTGGAAAACACCTTTCCTACAGCTTTTGTCGCAGACTAGCAAACAATTGAAGTTTATAATGACGCGAAAATGTACACAGTTCATTTCCAATAACATTTCACGTGAAAGCTAACTGTTCAAAGTTCACAAAAATTATTACTTTTGCACAAGGTATTTGAACAAATAAGTTTATAATTTTCTTACATATAATACGTTAATAATAAACTAACTAATTCCGTGAATTTGTCAATAAAATGGTATCCTCATTCGGGCGCCGAAACACTGACTTCCTATTGGCTCGATTTTCGTTTGACGAAGGAACGTGAAACTTCGATCGTACATCATTTGCTGTTGCAATATATCATGTTGCCAACTTTGAACGGAAAATGCGTGACTCATATAATGGCAAAATAATTAATATACCTAAAATAAATAACGAATAAAAGTATGCCGATGCAGACTGTAAATTTATCTTTAACTCTAAAGAATAACTTCTGTACCCAGATTAGGAGGCCTATATCGTATTTCTGTTGAAGTAGAACTAAAACAGAACCCTCGTTCAGGCTGCAAAATATTGGCTTCCTATTGGCTCAACTTTTGGACGAAGGAACGATGGAACCCCGATCGTTGTCGCATATATCGATAGGGGGGATTTGCGATGCATATATAATTCAAGGGAGAAATCAGACGTAGCCAACATAGAACGGAAAATAGACCCGACTCAAGCCATTTCATGAGAAGAAAATGTAGAAATGCAAATAAATAACGTATTGTATGTTGGTGCAGGTTGTATATGAATCTTCAACTCTTTAAAGCACAGTTGTAGCCAGTTGGTTTTCACTGCATAACAAGAAGATTGCAATTAGTCATTTTCATGCAACTGTAGATGGTTGTGAGTTGTGATATGCTTTTCACTCAATAGATGGCGAGCACGGGTCTCTCACAGCGTCCAGTGGCCTTGTACCTTTCCATACGCGTTTCGCATAATGATATTACGTTGTTTTTCTCAACGTAAGGTACTTTCGATCAGCGGTTCTCTGTCCGATGGTCATACTTCTGGAAGTTCTAGGGCGTTATGAATAGGCATAACTTGTACAAACATCAAAGAAGTAGAAACAAACACTCCCGGGCGAAAATATCGGATGAATAGGCATAACTTGTACAAACATCAGAGAAGTAGAAACAAGCACCCCCGGGCGAAAACATCGGGTGGAGTCTGTAGTTTTCACGTCAGATCAACCTCGAGTTCTGGTCCAGAAGTCAAATCGTGTGGACATGCAATATTGTCAAATCTTATCAACAATCGCACCACAATGCCAAGGCGTTTTAATAATAATAATAATAATTAAATTCTTTATTATTAGTGTACTGTATCAACAGCCAGAAGGCCAATTATAGAAACAGCACGAGAGAGGAACACAACAAAAACAACGATGATAATATTAATAAACCGCTGTTGTGTTATACAAGAAAACATTTCTTATTTTTCCTCCAATTTTAGTGATGTGGCGGCGCACTATTTGACAGATAGGATCATTTTCCACTGGAAAGATGGTTGTTTTCACTTTTTCAACAAACCCTTTTTTTACTTCTTGCAATCGTGATCTCTAAAATGGTATGATTAGTTTAATATAAGATATGAAATATTACCAGTACTGGAAAATAAAGGAACGAAGGAGGCGAGGTACAGAATGTGTACGAATACTCTTAAAATAGACCATCTGTTTCTGTGCATCTTTGAATTTATTTGATAGTGATTTTTCTTTAACGAGATTCGATTACGTACTGTGTAAACATGCTACTTTATTAACTAACAACCGAACTTCCTAACAAACTGACTCTATGGTACAGAGTTTCCTTAAAGAATTGGCATTTATTCAGTTGATCAACAAATTCCTTGCTTTTGTGAAATCTGAAATTTCGTCAACGTGGTTTTTCTTCTCCCGCATTTAGACCTTGTCGAGAGACAGTTGAACCGGCACACTATTTCACACCCTGTATCTCTTAACAAGCATTTTCATATTATCCATGTGTGCCTACGTAGTCTCTCCCCCCACCAGTTTCCTCAACCAAAATCATGTGTATGTTTTCTCTTCATGTGTAAAATTAACTAAACTTTTTGTCTCTGTGGAAATCAATCATGAAAGGAAAAAAGTTACGACCTGAAAGAAGTATAGTATATATAATGTACATGCACAAAATATACATGCGTGTTTTCGTGCCTTACATTTATAAATAAAAGTCATTACTCAACATCTATGTTCGTGTTTGAAATAATAACATTATAATTCACGTTAAAAAATAATTCCTGGTGTTAACTAGATTGAACTGGTTCAGAATTAGATTCCGTCGTTAGTTTTCGTATTACCTTGAGAATTATTTAAGCCTGCGTTATAAATGTCTGTGGATAAGTGCTGTTAATCGGTTGAGCAAACTATGGTATTTGGAAATGAATAAAATTTCCATTATCTTATACGAAACAAATACATTTGTAATAAGTGTGATAGGACGTAGCGATAATTCTTAAACTGCATATTTCTGTAAGGAAAGATTACTAAACGATAAGTTACAAGGAATTAAAACATAAAAATTGTTAAGATAGTATTCTAGCATGAGTCAGTCTTCAGATGTGCATTCGAATTTGGGACGTCCTGAACATAAACCAGGATTTCCAGCCACGGCATAGAAATAATCTTCATAGTTACCAGTGGATCGTTCATAATTAACTTATAAATTTGTCGATGAACGGTGCATGACCTCTGCAATTAATCTGTTGTTCTTGAATAGCACAAGGAATCAACAATTCAGTTTGGAACAGTTAAAAATATTTCATTTCATGGTCTGCGAGAGTACTGCGTGTTAACGGGTGTGTCTTATAAAGGTCGCCTATTGCTGGTGTCCTAATTCTTAAACAAATAAGTGCAGGAACTACAATAAAAATATGGCGTTGTAATATTCCTGCAATCTTGATTTTATTCACCTTGTTGCGTGATGCCTAATTAAATAATTATACAATAGGCCCGCCTTCTCAACTATTTTGTTTTTATTTATTTGCTTATTATACCACTACATGTTTCTATCCCAATAGGATCATCTTCAGGAGGTGCACAAACCTATTGTATTATTAATTAATTCCTGCAGCCATTGCATGACATGTTATTAACTAACCAACGAACTTCCTATATCATAACCTCAAAATTCAGCGCCATTAATATCACAGTCCGCCACTGAACACGCTCCTGGTTGATAAATAAATAGTACAGAAACTTGTATTTCGAAGCGTCCTGTTCTAAAGTCTGTTGTTGAATGGAACAAAGTACAGACCTTGGCTTTGCAAACTTCATGCATCTGTGTGCAGTATTGCTCTTGAACTCTGCTGTAATTTAAAAGAGAATGCTCTCAGAACGATGTTTGTATTTCTCGTCGTGTAAGCAACGTCGCAAATGAAGTTGTTATCCACGACTAAATAAAGAGGACAATAAAATTAGTAAATAGAGTGAAGATTTATATCGGAATCGTCGATTTTCTCTTTCTAATAGACTTTTATTTTGCAATGATGTTTACCCATTTAAATAAAAACATTATTTGTTCTTATTCTCCATAGCTACTTGCCATCTGAGTTTCCTTCGTTCAGGTTTTTTCCAGTAGTTTTTAAATTAATTACAATTGACTTAGCTTCAGTCCCATTTTTAAAAGTTTCTCAGTTAGCGTCCAGTGAATTGCATAGTTTTTTATGATACTTAAGTTCTCCCACCTTTTCCCTATACAACCGAAACATTTTTCTTAATCCTTTGGAGCATGAACTTAATTTAAATAATATTTACAATTTTAGTCCATTAAAAAAAAGAAAAACATAAACAATACTTTTCCATTTCAAATATTAGTTGGTTATTAATGTTTAATGATCCCTGTTTACACTGAGAATTATACGAAACCTATAAATACAACACTCAAAGTTACTAATTGTTTAAGCAGGTGGTACATATAATTACCATTGGCCGTTTGTCCGAAGTGAATTTTGAACCAGGGAGACAGACTTTCTTTCAGAGCATAAGCAAATTGCCCTATTCTTTGGTTCTTGAGTCTGATTTGTTGTGTCGCAATCTAAACATTTGACTCTCTTTGTGCGAGCTAAGCAATTGGTGCTGAATTGTGGCCAGATACTTGTTAAATTGTATAAGAAAGATTGGCTGACGTAGCTTCTGAACATTTTATGCTATAATATAGTGTCATAACTGCGTTGATTTCTGCCTACAATAAATGAAAATGAACCCAACGAGATTTTAACACTTTATCACACAGTTAGGGGCTTCTTCTCTGACCCTGCACGTGGCTCGTCACAATATACTTTTTAGCTTATGTGTACTTTAATCGGTGTACGTCTTCCTACTCGTCTTGATTGTATTTGACGTCAAGGACGGTTTTTTTACGTTTGTTAATTTGAGGAAAAATGTCGTCAGACTCTAGGCTATTAGATCTGATGAACGTCCCAGTTTTATTTTGGTTGTCAATTCGCTTGTTGAGATTCGTGACCTCGTTTAGCGACCGCTCTTGTCAATTGGCAGTCATTAGCTCTGCTCCTTTGTAATTAAGGCAGTTTTGCAATTTGAGACTTGTGTCTTGTATAGACAATTGTCTACAATGGAGGCGTGTACATTAAATTTGCAGAATCTGACTTTCTAAGTTGTCCTTTGCCTTTTGGCTCGGGGGAAAAAAAGGTAATTGTTTTTTCAGACCACAGTGATTATAACGAGATATGTAATGTCACTACCTGAAAATAATGAAACGTTTCTCTGGAACCAGTTGTCAAAGCTGCGTTTGTAAAGGGTAGATATCTCCCGACCTCTTAACCTGAAGACGAAAAAATATCCAGCTACCTAAGCGTTTTTACTCAGAATATCAGATGATGGAAACAGTTCAGAAATCCAATGATAGTGACTGTAATATAATATTTTAAGGACACTTTAAAATCGATTAACTGTTCTTCTGTTTACATTACTTTGATCATCGCCTATTCTTATTCTTTTGTTTTATTTCTCCATCATATTTCTTTGTTTGTTAAAATAATTTAAGATTAAGAGTCAAATAGACATTTTACTTCAACTGAAAGATTTTTTTATGTAATTACAAATATACACGTAGAAAAAAGGCAAGATGTTCCTTTGGCAGTGTTTGTGTAACAGAAAAGAGAAATTAGTATAATTCTTTTATCGCTACTAAGAGGGTATTGTGTAGCTAATAGCCAGATTTAGACTACAGAAAAACATTCTGTAAAGACGTCTTTATAGGTCGCATGGAAAACTTACGTAACATTATTATAGTTCTTTCCAGTTTTAGATATTTTAAGACCTCTTGCGTATTCTATCTTTTTTTTACTATAAAATTTCTGATTCCCCGTTGTCTTCAAAAAATGACGTCATCAACAATGTCAACAGATATTTGTTTACTCGGCATTGTTGCCGAGTGAGTAAACAAATAACGCTTCGCTACCAAGCCAGTCGCATTATCACTGCTCCAGAAGTAGCACGTCGCATTCTTGAAAAATTACTGACAGTTGGCCTAAAACATCATAAAAGTGAAAGATGTTATCAAGTATTTGAAACGTTATCAACTATTTTAAGTACAAACTCCAACAAGGTAAACAGTTACTCATTCGATATATTTCGATCATAAAGTCAGTTTTCATAATACTTAGTGTCTTACTCAAGATTTTAAAACTCAAACAACAACCCCTGGGGGGGGGGGTTGGTTAAATGGTTTAACCCCCCATCGGGGGGGTTAGTTTAGGGTCTTACTCAAGAAAATTTTAAAACCCCACCCACCCCCCCCCCCCCCCGAAGGGGGGTTTGTCAAGTGTTTTAACCCCAATTCGGGGGGTTAGTTTAATTTCTTACACAAGGTTGGTTGCGTTTTAAAAAATTGACCAACCCCCCCGAGGCGCTCCGAAAGGAGCGTTCTACTCTAGTATTAAAAAAAAGCCCTTCC